TACTGCCATTGATGTTGAAAGCTTTGCCACTGACATGAATGGAAAGAGGATAAGACTTAGAATGTGCTTATGATATAAACTTGTGATTAACATTAACAGCTGGTAGGGGTGTTTTTTTTAATCTTAAGCCTCATAAATACAGCTGAAAAAGCATTTATCTGAAAGTGGAAAATGAAGGCTTAGCTAAAGCTGTGCAATCTTTTCGTAATGAAACCCAGAACTAGCCTGATTTGGGTGAGCTGCTAGAGGTTTGACATTCAGGCCGGTTTTGCTAACCCCTCAGTGAACATAGTGGATTTACAGATTCAGATGAAAACCACATACAGCTCAGCAGTGATTTTGGCTGAACAATGCTTTCAGCTTTTGCTCAAACTTGAAACTTATTGGGTGTGAACCCACAATAACCAAAACTTATAAGAAAAAAAAAAGAAAGACTGGCATGAGCACCATGTGGACAGAAATCATGCAAGACTCTCAGAAATCCAAATACAGCAAGCAGTAGCTGCGGGGGCAGATATGTTAGGCACTACAGATGTTGAGTTCTCGAAGCTCCACCACCATCTGAATGGACAAAGAGGAGTGTAATCAGTGAAGCTCAAGTTAATCATATCAGGCACTACATGACAACTGTAGTTTATCCAGATCGTTTCCCAGTGCATTGACATTAGCATTGCCTTTTATAATATGTGCATTGTATAGTAGGTGGTGATTTGGTGGTTTGGGAAGTAGCCAAGGAAAGAGACTCAAAGCATAGTGAACTTTCTTCCAAAATTGATGTTGAAATTTGGCTACCTGAAACACATTACAAGTCATGGTTAAATCAGTAGGGTATTAAAAAGGAAATGACTCTTGCGCAGAGAAGTTTTGCTTTTCCCCTCTCTTGCATTGTAATCCTCTGACCAGCCCTAAATCGACAACTAAGCTAAAGGAAATTAAAGAAAAGATGAATAAAAAAAAAATCTCAAGCTGGGTCAAATTCATCCCCAGTGTAGCTTAGCTCAAGTAGAGTTAAATCAATGGAGTTCCACCAGGGATGAATTTGGCTTATTGTCAAAAGGAAATGAAGCAACTGTGCCCTCATTTACAGCTATCAACTTAAACAGAAATTTCATTATAAGGGAATTTCTGAAAACAATTCCTAGGTAAAAGAAAATTGCTAAGGTTGAACAGCATGTGTGTTTGAAAATTCCCTGAAGTCCACAACTGTCTGCTTACTTGGTTGATACACTGAACGCTGGCTAATTGAGTGCTCACATGGTTTCAAAGGCCTTATAAAATCAGAGTAAACTACAAAATGAATTGCAGATTGTCTTCAGAAATCTCCTTTCTTTGTTTTCCCTACACTGAATCTTAAATACTCAATTGCAAAAATAGTGCTAATTCAAAAGTAGGAGGGCAATTGCAGATAAAAATGATGCTAGTAAATCAATTTTGGTTACCTTGGTATTCTTGATTTGATTTCCCCCATTCCAATGTAAAAGTAATGTAGAATTTCTTAAGCTGCACACTTCTGCCACTTATGTTCTCCAGAGTATGATCTAAAGAGATCCTCTGAAGCTCCTCTCTATTTCCAAATAAAAGAATCAATTAAAGCTTACATTTAATACTGTAATTTCCAAACAGATTCCTTCCTATATATTTTACTATAAAGCTATTATACCATAAGGATAATTTCTGTTCTAAGAGGATCTATGGAATTGTGGTTGAGATGTGAGATGATCTGTTATAAAAGTTCAGGATTAAGGTAAAACTAGGTTAAAAAAAACCCAACAAACCAAAAAACCAACCCTTGACTTTACAGTTTTCTTTTTTGAATTGGCAGCAAAACTTTCAATCAGAATGCAAAATATATGCAAGAAATTTTAAACTTGTGCTGGGAGAATGTTTTGAACACATTTAGAAACTTTGTTCTCACAGCCTAAAAACTGCATGTAATGTTATAATGTAGAATATAATTTACATTAAAACCTACAAACACAACTAAACTATAACTAAACATATTTTCCAAGATGCTGTTCCCTTAAAATGCTGAGGATGCTGAGATGATGATGATATTTTGTGAATGTGCCATGACCACGACTTAGCTTGTCCTTAAAAATATCTGCTCCTTGAAGGCTTGTGAAAATCCTGATCTGAAGCCTTAATCTAATTGTCAGCAACTCTAAGCAAGGGTCAGCTTCAGGTTGACACCACCACCAGAGGCAAGTCCATCAGAGTCACCTAACCTAAAAGGTAACTTTTAGAAAGATTCAGCTGCTTTAGTACTGCATATGGAAAGTATATTAATTCAGCCAGTTTTGATGAAGTAGGAGTGCTGACTATATCCCGAATGTTCTCACATAGCAAATGCCAAAGAAAATACTCTGAAGACTTCTTAAGGGCAGGTCATAAATCATTGGAAGAAGCTATTTTTTCTCAGGCCTAACTCACTTGTAATCCAAGGTCTTGGTAAGGTACTTGGATAATATTAGAAGTAAAATCAGAATTAACTCATTTTAAGTAAAACAACATTCTCTAACCAGATAATGCCATGAGAGTAGCATAAGGAAATCAAAGGTTCTATCAGATGTTCACAATCACAGGCTAACTCCAAGAAGGCTCCAAATCAGGAGTTATCTTGGGTCCTTCAAGCCATTTAGTTGTGCTTATTTATATAATATTGTGCATCTGTCCCACAGAGTTTTAGCACAGGCTTGGTCCCATAGTAACATCTTTAAAGGCTTGTTTTATCAAAATCACGTCTTGGTTTCTTTGTTTTATTCCCATTACTTGGAGTAGAAAGGACTGCAGAAAACAGATTTTAACTAACTAGCAGAAAAAGACTAGCCACTGAGATGTAACAGTTACCAGGTGTACATATAAAAACACTGAAAAAGCAAACTATGCATTTCAATTGTTACACTACAAGCAGTGAAGCAGAAATCTCACTTTAAAAACAAAAGGGGAGCACTTACCAATTTTTGCTATCACTTGCTTGCAGTCCAATGACATGGCAATTGAAACAGCCAAGGACACAGCTAGAGATCATTAGGAACAGAAGACAACAGCCAGAAAGCCATGCAAGACCTCTGACTTCATATCACCTGATTCACTGTCAGATTCCACAGACTGAACCTGCAAATGGATGCTTAGAAATCTATGTGTCAAACGAACAGACTCAATCTTGGCTATATGGTTACACTTCTGGAAAGCTGAATTTCATCTTTTTCTTTCACATATGCCAACCATTTAACAAAGCAAAAAGACAGACAGTTCTACACAGAATAAAGAAAATAAACTTTCCTGAACTGGGCAAGCAGAGACTCATGTGCCAACTATCACACCACATAAAGAAGAAATATATGGTAAGACTCAGTGTGAGTCAGTATAAAATGGGTTGATTCAGAACCTCACCACAAAGGCTGCATCTAGCAAAGTTTTGCTGGGGGCAAACATTTCCCAACATACTCATATTGTTGGCAGGAATAAAAAATATTAATATATCCACTGGCAGCAAGTGAACCCTGTAATTTACAGAAAGCATTTTTAAAAGCACAGACAGGTTTGTTTCTTTCTTCTGACTTAAATGGGAGCAACCTTACACCAACATAGAGAGATCTTTCAACTGCAAAGAAGAAGCAAGGATCAAACACTCAGCAATCCTATTCTACTCAAAGAACCAAATGCATTAAAAAGTGAGCAGCCTATCAGCCCTCCAAAAGTTAGTAACCCTAATTTTCATGGCTGATACATTGATTTCAAAGGGACTCACAGTTTGAGTATGGCAAATACTAGAATAACTAACTGTGAGAGTCAGGTCTAACAAAGGAAAAAGTGGTTTCAGTGGTAACATACTTTCAGCAATGCCATAAATCATTTATGCATGCAACAGATTCAATTAGAGCCCATGTGCTCTAAAGTTAGGTTTGTGTATCCATAACAGCAGGATTTTCACTGAAGGTCATTCATCTTTGGACTTTCATTTCAACATTTCAGTTTGGATCTTTTTCTTGTTTTTAATTATAAGATTAGGAATTAATTATTTCAATACATAAAGTTAGGAATGTAGTAAGTACAGCTTCTATAGGCATCTCCTAGTAAAAGCATATCCTCCTAGTCTTCATTTGTGAAGACGTGATGTCTTCCAAAAGGCAAAGTACTGGTCATCCCAAGACTGAACCTAAGACAGAAGTTTGGATAATTTTTATTTTTTTTTAAATTTTTAGTATTTGATTTAGATTTCAAACATTGTTAATTGTCGAGAAACGCGGCTGGTCAAATTTTTCTTGTTGCAACATAAAGAACTAAGAATGCAGTGGTTCCTTTGAAAGATACATATTTTAAAACCTTGATAACTTTGTAGGCAAATCTTCTATTTTTAATAGCCTAGTGAATCTCAAGAGGGAAAGATGTGTCATGTATGGAGAAGGGGGAGCAAAGGAGAGAGTGTGGAATCTCTCAGATTACTTTGCTGCGACTTTCATCCTAAATGATAGCTCAGTTAAGAAATACAGGCACAATTCCCACTGAGGAAAGAACCAAGTGTAGATAGCAGCCCCAGGTTTGAAAAGTTTGCCATCTCTTAAAGCAGAATTTCAGCAGAACACAGCTGAAAATAAAATGCTCCACCTATCAAAAAAAATTATTTTAGCATAAACAGTAATAAGCATCCATGCATGTTTTTAAATAATGTCCTAATGCATGTTAGTAAGATAAAATAATTATTCATAGATTATCCTTTTGATTTTCCAGAACCAGACACATTTAATATGAATTCTTTTTAAGCAAATTTTAATTAGGGCTTTACCATATTTAACTATAGGTATATAATCCCTCAAGTGAAAACAAAAACCAAAGTGGAAGACACTTTGTTCACATTTCCTTCCAAAAATATTTTTGCCTCCAAAGCTTTGCTAGGAAGAAAATGCTCCTGAAAATGATACAAATGGTTTTGACATTAGGAAAAGTAAACAAGCAAAATAAAGATGGAAAAATCATGCGGTCAGTTTGCAAGTGCTGTTTATTGTTTGAGGCAGGGTTAAAGCCTTTATAAAGACAAGAACATATATGCAACCAGACTGAAAGGGACATTAGGTTATTCCAAACACCCCTGCTCAGAACCCTGCTGCCTGTAACATTGCCATGGCCAAAATGTGTGGAGACTTCAAAACAGACAACATAATAGGAGCAAACTAGGATTGCTGTTATTTTGGTAACCAAGAGAAATGACAAGTGCCCTAAATATTTCTAATTATATTTTTGATTAAAGAAAGAGGCATGCAGTTTTCATTTATCCAATATCTCCTAGGACTTCTAAAGTGAATTGGCATTTCATTTGTAGTCACATATGACATTAGAAGAGGCACTGTAGGTGGTCAAAATGTGCTTTACAGACATCAATTTGCATGGCAAACAGCTCAGAGCTCAATTTGAACCCTAAGTGGTGTGAACTAGATTGTTCTACGTTCATCACTGATTTTAAGTATCTGTTAAAGATTTATTATAGACTTTCAGAATGAGCAAAGGCTTCCATTTACTGAGTAAGGCCTAACATGCTCAGCAGCAGCAAGCTTTCCTTTGGCACTCTGCCAGCGTCTCATTCTATTTCATCAGTCAAACCCAATTTCACAATTGACTTCAATGTCCAGTTCACTTCCACCTGTAACACTAGCTGATAATAGACCCCCAAAGTAGGCAGTTTCTAAAAACTGACATTTTTTTTCAACCAGGAAAGTGAATAAAGGCCACCAAGCAATTTTAAACAAACCAAGAACAGCTAGGTAGTGATAGCTCTCAACTGGGACCAATATGCATGGGTTTGGAACAGTCCAGAGGTCAGAATTTTTGCATATTTCTTGGACAATCCCATTGTATCCAGCAACACTCAATATATGCATGAAGTATGGGATTTTTTTTCACAGTAACGAGTTCATGATTCTAGTATATTCAACCTCGTTATCAGAAAAGTAGGAAATTTGCCATGAATTTTTATTTTTCTGACTGAAAATTTGGCAATAGTCTTTCCTACGTAGACATCAAAATGGATTATTCAGAACTTGTCTCTATATTAGTAAAGCTGCTAATTATGTTAACTCTACCACTTACTTTTGTTGATTTTTCTCCCCTCTGAATAACCCTATGCATCTGGTGGCAGATTATATCACTCCTTTTAGGCACTTTCCCCCCTACTCAGATTTAAGCATTTAATTCTAAACATAGTCCCTAAAAGTTAAAAATATCTTGTTCAACAAACCAGGAATAATGCACATTGTCAATATCACTAATGAGGACTTCTTCCAAGCATATACAGTTAAGCTGTGCCAGCATTAAAAAATGTTCACTTTTCTGAAGGTAAGAGTGAGTAAATGTTGAGACATAATTTAAGAATTAGCAAATTTTGTTTGTCTGGGAAATTACTTAAATCTTTTTCCTTTGCATATAAACAACTATACAAATCAATAGTAATTTGCGTGGCCAAAATATTTTCAGGACATATTTTTCCCCTGTTGAAAGACAAAATAACCTGTCTAGGATCATTTAGGGGTGAGTGGGGTCCCACCAAACCGTGAACGGATTTGTGTAGGCATGTATGAGATGACAGAAACACAAGCACTTAATTCACAGGGAAAAAAATAAGAACAGATAAGGGCTTTTTCATCTGAAATTACAGCCTCCCTCTTTTATAAAACTCTGATATCAGCAGCCACTTTCTCTCAACAGGCAAGCCGGAGATAAACGCGCTGCGTTCGCGGAGGCGCCGAGCGCTGGAGCATGCTCACTGCAGCCCCAGGTGTGACCCCTGCTCTTCTGGAGCAGCAATTGGACCAGGCAATCCATCACAGCGCTCCTCCTGTCAGGCCGGGTGCTCGGCTGCAGCTGTCTGTCACACTGGTGGATGGAACCTGCTTAAAGGCAATCATGTCAATCTCTATGCGACTACTCAGACTAAGATAGAAGGATGATCTTGACAGGCTTGGCAAAGTCAGCAGAAGGCACTAGAGGACTTCAGTTACACGCTTAAAATTTAGATGCAATTTGTGCTTCTCATGTGGAGGGATTGAAGAGGCACCAAACAGCACTGTGTTTTATAGCTGGTCATCTCGGATGAATCTGTTGCCCTCAGAATGTTTTCCGTAGTAAATGTAGCGACATTTCCCCAGAATGCCTACAATAAAAAGGAAATAAATTACAATTAGGACTGAAGTGGCATAATATGCAATAAAGCACATAACTAGGAAAATTTGAAGGAAGGAAGGGAGCAATTTTCTCTTTTCCTGCAAAAGAAAGTTTGTGTATTTGAAATATTCAGTATTGCCATTTCAAACAGCAGTTTTGAATCCACTGGGAAAACATGTGTTCAAATACATGCATGACCTATCCTGTTAAACAAAAATCCACAAGTTTCCTCAAAATCAGAACTACATAACACTGAAACATCATATACTGCATTTTAAATCACAGTACCTCTCTTCTGCTTTTGAAAAACAGAAAGTCTGGGTTGAAGTTATATTTTGTGCTTTCTGCTCTGTCCCTGCTATTTATTTAAAAGGTTTTCCTGGTGAATGAAACCAAAAAGGAAAAAAACCAGCAAATAATTACAGTTTAATGTGGATCCTGGAAAAACCCTTTGAACTTTCAGAGAGTCATAGTGTAAACACCTAAAGCCATTCCTGCTTTCCAGTGACAGCAAACTGAAGTGACCAGCTGCAATCTCCATGGGAAGTCATCAACAGACACAGGCTAGAACAGTTAGCCCTCCAGACTCCAGCATACAAACAAACATTTAGTAAAAACATTTCCAAAGTATTTCTCAGAACACCATCACAACATTCCATGAGAAAGATTACAATTATAATTATGTTACATATTGGCATATGGAGTATGCTTTCAAAAATTATCCAGAATACTGGTTTTGGGAAACAAGGTGTGTCATTCTCAGTGAGTACAGGCAGAAAGATGCCTGAGGAAGCCTTAACTGCTGTGGGTGAGACACACGTACCTGCAAATCTCACTACCTTACTCAAAAGCATCCCCTCTGGTGGTACTAAGTGGTATGTGAAAGCGTAAGTTCACAGTCACATCCCACCTGAGAACATCCTCAAAGATGCTAAATTTTACTAGCAGAGTTATTCTTTGAGCCCTCACACATGTATAGTCAAATTAAAGTCATCTCCCATGAACAGAAAGAAGGTGGAAGGGTCTCCTCTACCTTGGGAGTGTCTTAACAGAGCAGTCACTCTGCAAGTACCTAGCTCACCTCTATAAGGGCAAACATAACCTACCCCAAAGGGGACAAACACTGCCTTACATAAAGGGTAAAGACAGGGGAGGAGCAGAGCCTCAATTCATTGTTGTTTTAGATTTCCAGGACTCACATAGCAAATACTGTGCCCACCTGCAGTATGAATTCACTATGCAAGCTTTTATAATCTGCATCCATTTTTTTCCAGTATAACGTCTGTCAGATAAGATACTAAAGCTTTGGAAGGCATGGGTTGTGCAAGATTAATGCTCTTCTTTCTTTCTAAGACATCAGGATGGTAACACATTCCTATGAGGGTGGGGAGAAAAATTGATAGGCCTGTCATTTGTTGTGAAAAACATTCCTCTTCAGGATAACACAGATGGGGAGTATATGGTGCAGTGTCCAATCCCTTTGCCCTCCTCCATAGAGCTTTCTTCAATAATTTCAATTTCAATAATTTCAATTTCAATAATTTCAATTTCAATAATTTCAATTTCAATAATTTCACTGGTGGAGCAGTTTCCACATTCAAAGGATGATATTAGCATTCCTAAACAAGCATCTAATGAACAACAAGATTTTCGTCCCCTAAAAAGATATCCCAAGTCAGGCTGCAGCAGGCATTAGGTTGGTAACAAGGCCATTTAGAGCTCTAAATGCAAAGGATATGAGCAGTTTATTAATGGCATTCTTCAGACTCCTTTTTCGCTGGCATTGATAAAAGTCTTGTTTGAGGTCTGCCGCATTTCTTAAGGACTGGAAGCAAGACTGTTTATAGAGATGCTGGTGAGAGAGTGCTGTTTGATGAATGCTGGAGACTATAGCTAGGTGTCAGTGCTTAGAAAATGAGGCAAGGACATGAGGTATTAATATTGTCAATGATCTCTTGACAGGAAAACAGATACTGCATTCACCGTCAGATTTAAATAGACATCAAGTGCATTAATGACAAAAGGGTAGACTTCAAACAAAGGGGGCTGTATGGTGCTGTGCTGAGCCAGTCTCCAAGTTGGCAATAACCTGATCTGAAAAGACACTGTCAGGGCTACAGACAGGCCCGGGATTGTGTGCGGTGACAGAAAACAGAGATGCTGACAGAGATACCGGTGCCATATTATGCCAAGTATATTCTAACACTGTCTCCAGCCCTAACTAAATCTGACATCATTTCCTATCGCTTATAGTATTCTCCACTGCTCTGGCAGATTATTTCTCCCCAGACATCATTACAAACTCCGCTGTAGTTTTAAAGTTACTGGCAGGCCTGTGCTGTTGTGGAGGCTGGGTCTAGAGGCCTAAGGATAACCTCAGTCAATCTAAATTTGGAGTTTGCTGGAGAAGTGCTCTCATTTTCACTGATATCTCAGCTACTTGAGGTGATCTGAACGCTAAAGTGTGAGGAGCTGTCACCTTGAATAAAATCCTTAAAGTAAAGATGCTCTGTTCCCGGGATGTTCAGCAAAGATGTCGGACAGTCTGGCAGCAGGAAATGAAATCCAGCTGCTGCTGCTCGCCTGGGGATAAAGGTGCTTGGGCTAGTGACAGTTAAAGTCAGCTGAAATTTTTGAAATCCTGCAGCCTACAATTGTTTAAATTAAGGAAGTGTTGTCTCCGCAGAGATTCCCTACCCAGGCACACAGCTGTGATTCGATTGCCAGGCATATTACACACACTGCTCAGAGAGTCTTGATAAAAGCGCAGTTGAAAATGTTGCCATGAGACCTTATTTATCATGAAGGTTATTTGTAAAACAATAATCTCGCTCATAAATTAAATGCAGTGACTGGTGTGGTTTTTTTCTTTTGTTTTGTTTTTTTCTCTTCCCACCTCCCTTTGGCAACTACAGAGAACTGCAAAAGGTTTGTGTGAGAATTTTGATGCTAAGATATTTCACATGTGAATTTAGGAAAGCTAGTGCTTCTTTTCTGCCTTTCTGCTATGGTATTCTTTCCTTGTAGTTCAGGGGCAAGAGAACACGTGTGCTTTTGCACACAGGCAAGGGGAGGAATAAGGGGAAAACAATACAGCTGTGGTTGTTCTGGTGTTTTTTAATTAAAATATCCAGCATTGGCCATAATAAGCTAAGTATACCCCCTATACATCAAAACAATACACAGCATCCTGAATGAGGTTTCTGCTCAAGGTTCTTAAGAAATGACAACACAAGGTCTCTTGAGGGATCATCTTCCCTGAATGAGGCTTCTAATTTTTCTTAAGTAGCTGATTCTACCATCACCACAAGCTGTTAAAACTATAATTATGAAAAAAATGCATTGAGAAGAATCCTTTTTAAATTCACTCTTTATCTTTTAAATGTTTTCACCCTTTGGAATGGATGTTCTAATTATGCTGGGTAAGTAATGACCTTGCAGTTGCCTGCATGTGTTGTGGTATCAGTCTTTCTTCACAAACACATTGTAATGTCAGCAACACCAGCTTTTCCTTAGCTGAGGGAAAACCCAATTATCCAAATAAATAAATAAATACATACATGCATACTAAAACACATGAAAAAGTTCAAGTCATGTTAGCTCCTTTTAAATTGGGCATGTTTCGCAGAGAGCTATGTTACACTTGGACCTCTACACACTTTCCTAGAGAAAAAAAAGTTTAAAGATCTTCATGTATTATATAAAAAATGGTAAAAATAAGTTCCAATGGAACGTGCTAGACCTATAGATCATACAGCCTGCGTTAGTTACAGGTCAAAATTCAGCTCAAGCCAACAGTGATGTAAAGAAATTGTTGTCTAATAGCATCTTGTTGCCTTTCTTGCTTTTATCTTTTTCCTAGCAAATAAATGCTCTATATCTACAAAAATACTACCTCTCAGCCATCACAACTCAGGGAGCTGTTAGGAACACAGCTTCCTGCAGTAGCTCAGTTTTCTCTAAAAAGTAATTACTAAAACTAAGTAGTCAAGCCACCCCCCTCAAAACCTATTGCCACATCTGCCCAACACCCCTATCAGGCACTCATTTTAACATCAAATGTTTTTAATAAATCCCTCTGCAAGGAAAAAAAAGCAAAATATTCACAGTTAAATTTTTTTGTCAAACACTGGTCTGCAGTATATATCAGGGACTACCTTTCACTAAACAGCCTTCTGCCTCTCTTTCAGATGGACTAACCACAGGTCATTGCACTAGGTCAGATAAAGTGTGGCACTTCATACACAGACTCAATATTCTAGTGGAAGTCCACCTCACCTAACTTTAATTAGAGTACAGTACCTAATCCTTCGCTGCCAATTTGTATTTGATCCATATTCATCTCTTTTTGTACAGCCTGTTGTTGTGTAGTTTTGCTAAGGGCTATTAAACAGCTGCCATGTTCCACCAAGAAGCTGGGTGCATTTCAGTGTAGTTATACTACCAATCTGTAAATTGTTTTGAGACCCTTCAGAATGAAATATCAATACCATTATCGTTTTTTTTCATAGGCACTTGGGCACATTCTACAATTAATGAACAGAAGTTGCAAAATTCCCTTAAATATTAATATAAACTTCCTTTAAAGGAAAATAATTCCCTACTGATAACATTTAGAGGAGAATAAATACCCATCTATGAACAGTTTCAAGTCTAAAATGCTACCGATTTAGGCAAAACACCTCCATGAGTCAAATTAATTTAAAACTCTTAAAAATCTTTTCATCTAAGGAATAAGCAAAGCTACTTTAAAGAAAAAATCCTTTTGTACAGGAGTTTAGAAATTTTTCATTTTATATTTATCTTCCTGGAAATTTTAACAATTTTATCTAGTTGTCTAGTTCACAACTTCTTATTTTCAATTCCATTTTGACTTTCTATGAGAAACGCAGTACTAGAGATTTTGAAAAAATTAGAACCCTAATCCTCTCACCTTCAGTAGCACATAGGCTATATTTTTCTGCTAAATCAGGAGAATTAAAGTATATA